AACATTATCTAACGAAAAACCTTGAAGATAGCCCCCTCCGACAGTCGGAAATTTTCATTATTTACACTCGTGCTGCTGTAAATTACACCGGCGATGCAACAACAGCACCGAGAAGCTACGCCGTAGATGGCTGCCGATGATATAGGAATAAATGGCATTTGACTCGTTACTGACAAATCATGCAACTGGCACACGGTTGCAGTGTTAATCGAATCGTTGTACTATACGATGTCGACTTGGCAGTTAATTACGACGTCGAGTGTCGTTTCGATGTTATGATCCCTGTAACTGTCAGGGTTGAAAGTTCCATAATAATCTCGTAACATTCAAATTCGAGCTATCTTTTTTTTTTTCGATTTATTATACTTGAAAAATATATACAAGTTGTCGAAAGTGTCCGGCTAATGAATAATTTGATTTATATTGCTTAAGTACCTACATTGTAAAAAAAATATGTAAAATTACATAAATATGTAAAATTACGTAAATATGTAAAAAAAAATCACAATTTATAGTGAAAATGTAAAATTGTGTATTTTTATAAAAATTAGTACTTTTATATCTCTAATTGTGTAAATATATCTTTGTATTAAACGGAAAATTTTATTAAAAATAATATATTTTACAATTTGATAACATATTTGCATTTTTATGTTTGTACATGTTAATAACAAATTTAAGAAAAATAGTTCTGCAAATTAATATGTGAATATTTCTATAAACTTAACCTCAAATGTGTGTAAATTTATTTTTAAGTAAACGCGAGATACGAGAACAAGAGAGCAAGAATAGTTATAACGAACAGACAAAAGGAAAGAAGATAATGGTTTAACAGCTGGTTTTTTCATCGCGGCGATAATTTGCGAGTAGAAGGGCAATATGAAAGTCAAGCGTCTTCGTCTTCTCATTCACACATTGTCGAATCATTCCTTCCCTTCAGGCACTTCGATCGACACCTCCTCTTTCCTTATCTTCGAAACAAAATGCATTTTCAAAATGCATACTCCCTTAAGTTTTTAATATGACAACACAATTAACGTTTATGATATGATGAGATAGCATCCAGAATAAGACATGTAAAATACATATAGCGAGATATACGATAATAAAATAAACGAAATACATGTATAGAAGACAGAGGAAGAAGATGATAATTATCTTTTCATTACACATCAGCTTAACCTATTTTACTTGACGCTTCAATTTCGTATATCATTTTTGAGGAAGTAAATGCACATTAAGCGAAAAATATGCGGTGCTCCAAAATAATCAGGTAGTCAGGAATTCACGAAAAATAAGTAGATATTAATATACACTTTTATTATATATCATCATGATCTATACATTTTGACAGTATAGAAGGTACATTAAGAATATGCACATCTATCACAGAAATGAAAACTTTGATTAATGTATCTATTACAGAAAAAGAAACTGAGTGTTCTAATTTTTAAATATCTTAGAAATATATTATTAATTTTTGCAAGAAAAGTTTTTTAACTCAATTCAAAAGTTTTAAAATTTAAAAATTAAAAGGAAATACTAATGTTCAAGATCTTTTACTGCGTCTTCTTTATAATTTTATTTATATTTTCTATTATTATTATTGCGTTTCGATTTGAACGCTTTCAATGCTTCAACCCTTTAGCAACGTTTACAATGAGATTTTAAAGCGTAAACTGACGAATCATAATCGATTGTCCTCATTACATTCGACTGTGATCAATTTCCTACGACTTAAAACTCCACAACCTCCTATTGTAGACTTCACATAAGTCTAGGTGCACAACTTTGTTTTAAGCCGATATTCAAAAAATAATTGACTAGTCAAATTTCTTACGGTCTCTTAAAGCAAGGTTGTAGACTTACAATTAGACTAATGAAACAGCAAATACAGAATAATCATTTCAAGCGCTTGAAGCGCTTGAGTGTCCAAATCAAACGCAGTCTATTTTTTAAGTTTCTCATAGATTCAAACTCTATATTTCCGTAACTCAAGAGATGTATTAATCTTTTGTTTGAAAAGTTCGCGCTCGAGTCAAACCGAGCACATAAGCCTACCGATTGATCACCTCTCGCAGCAAAGTCGAGATGAAAGCTCGAAGTCGGCGTTCGTCCTGCATTCGCTCGGACATCGCAGTGTCGATACCTTACGGGCTGATGGTGAACTTCGTGTACTTTCGTCGACCAAGGCACACAAAAAATATTCGCGATCGCAGGAAATAGCAACATAACCGTTATCTATACATATTGTAACTCATTAATGATTATTTACTTTCCATAGTCTATACCATGTATATTATTTATCATCTTATTCGCTTTATAAGTTTAATTATATCTTTTATTAATTTATATAATATTTATGCTGTTGTCTAAATAATTAAAAAATTGTTTCCAAAATAAAGAATAGCACAATTTTTTTTCATTGTTATAAATAACTTAAAACAAAAAATTTGAAGACATTAAACGCTATCGACAGCAAGAATAATATCACAACCTAAATACTACACTTATGTAATATTCATTATGAAATAGGTGTAACGCAATCGATATTATAAGTGAAAAACTCAAAGCAATTTAAATTCACTTTTGGTCTCGGAATTGCCGCATCGATTCGCAGGTTTTCGCGAAAAGCGGATGCTCATTGTCTTCATTGATGTGGTCATTTGCGCGACGAGAGAGCTATCACGTAAGAATTATATCTTACGACATACGCGACTACGTTGCATAAAGATGTAACGAGTGTGACATGCGATCAATGAGACGGGTAATAAACTCTCTAGTTACGACTGTCACTCAATTGTGAAAGAATTCCGTCTGCTTTGTCATTGTTCAAATGTAAATTCCGGAGCACTGTCCTCGCATACTTTCACCATGTTCTATAACAACAATACAATCATAATATTTCCTTACAATAATCTGTCGTTTTTAGGGAGAGAAACAACTTCCTGAAAGTTTACTTATCGATCAGTTTTTGTTTCTAAATTTAATGATTTCAGAAAAAATCTGTGTCATAACAAATTTACAAAAAAAAACGTAATAAAACAAATATAAAATGTTTAAACATTATTAAATAAATACTACAAGATTTCTTTAAAAAAGGAATAGTTTTTATGGAATTTCACTCGAAATTTTTTATTTATTTGGAAATGTTGATTTATTTCGAACAGTTCGAATGGGTAGTTTTCGTTGAAGTTCGATTTCGTTCGTCTAAATTATTATTCGCGTTGCTACAGGCGAGGGATAATTAGTGGAGCATTAGTACGATCGACGTTATTATTTTCATACTATACGATTCTCACGGCACGCGGCGGTGAAGCGTACACTGTAAAGTGGAAAAAGCGGTAAACTTCACTATGTTGCACTACGATATTCCGCATCATCCTTATAGCTGCCACGTTAAATGTCAAGATGTTCTCTTGTATATGATCGGGAAAGTTCTGGATTAACCCGATGATTCGTGTAATTACAAAATCGATGTGCACCGCTTGTATACAATTACACGTCAAAATCATTATATTACTGCGCACCGTCACAGCGTAATATTGTACTGACAAAGTTATAATATATTCGATTCAATAATCAAATTCATTTGTTAATAGATACTAGCAAATGCTAAAAATAATTGATATATAAAGAACAATTTGTTATTGCAATTGATAAATCTTGACGTAAATGTAAACGTCTATAAAATAATAAGACATCTAATGTGCTGTAAAAAGATATACTTTCCAATAATAAAAGTCTTTATTTATTCTTTTGATGCGCCTTATGAGCGCAAATATATTTTTTTAAAAACATTCGTTTAACATTTAATTACCTATAATTACATACGTATTCAGTTGTTTTAATTAAAAATTTTTTCAGATTAATATACTCTAATTAATGATACATAATATAAAAACATTTTATACTCTTGTCTTTTGCTTGTTAAAATTTTTGTATTAAATAAAATTTCAACATAATTGAGTGTTAATTTAACTGATTTAACATAATGTAATAATAAAATGTTTTTAATTTAGCACAATTTTCTAACTGTGTAATCAAAATGGTGTTTTCTGTGTCACTTGAATCCTATGTCGAAATCATCGGCAAATGAAATCTCTGTCGATGAGATCTTTAGTGAGAAATGTACCTCGCGGACGTAGATATCCTTGGGATGAAAATACAAGAGCGTCTCGCACTGCGAAATTACGTCTCTGAAAATCAAGGGCGTTTTGAGTGGTCAAGGGCTTCACTCGATTGACGCTGCAGATATACTTGCATGTCTATCTTTAAGCAATGTCGAGGTAGAATTACTAATCATTAATTGCAATGTGTATCTTATAAGGCAATGTATAATTTCTTGACTGAATTTTTTAGGCTGAGAAATAATAATAAAACTATTACAATACAATCAATCTTATACGCATCTCCAACCATTTATAATAATTATTAATATTATATTAAAATAATTAATATAAAAATAATGAATTATAAAAGTGAGAAAAAATTATAGCTTTCAATTATATCAGAAAATTATTTATATTGGCATAAAAAAAAATTCAAAATATTTATTTATTATAGAATAAAACGAAGAAACACAAACAAATAACTTATCAAGAAGCAAATAATACGTACTGAAAGAAGAACAATTCAGTTTATGTATTTCAACGTATTAACATATTCGAAAGTTAAAGAAGTGTACGTAATACTGAATTATTCCGCGCAGTAATTTAAATCTGCGTATTTCGTGATAACTCACGCATTTATTTAAACATGAATGTAATCATCGATCGTTATCAGTATTTTCGCATTATGCGGCTCACTGTAATATGAAGTTACGTGATGAATAAAAATTGGAAGAGAGCCCGGGAAATGCAATAGAAATTTTCAATGTCTTTGTAAGGCGAACTCGCGTGCTGAAGTTGAGGCGGAGGTCGGGCCCATGGGCGGGCCCTGCCGCTCCCGAAGGGGACCTATATAAGTAGACTCGCTCGGCGTACAACGCGATCCTATAACACAATCACTTCTGCCTCATCACCAACCAGACATGCGTCCTCCTGTAAGTATTCCTCTTTCTTCCTTTTTCTTTTCTGTCTCAATCATTTATGAACGTTGATATAACAGAAATCACTTTGTATTCGTGGCTAAATTTAATTCCGACAATCGGGACACGTATAAAAATGTTTTTGTGCAATGCTATAATGTGCTATTAATTAGCGTGAAAGATCGAAATAAATTGGAATGTATAAAAGTGAATTTTTTTTTCATACTGTGTGAATATCAGAATAGATTTTATAAAGATGTGTTATATTATGATGTGCGCGATTATTAGCATCGAGGTAGGTTGGAATTCAAGAGTGAGTAAGGGTGAAATTTTTTATTCCGTGATTATTAAAAATCAATTTTGTAAGAATTAATGAATTTATAAGAATCAATTTTAATGAAAAGGCAACTTGTATAAGCATTTTATAGTTATATAAAATATATTATATTATTATTGTAAATGTTTTTAAATATATCTTTTATAGACAGAAAAATCATAAACATGATTATTATAATGGATTCGAGAGAGAGAGAGAGAGAGAGAGAGAGAGAGAGAGAGAGAGAGAGAGAGAGAGAGAGAGAGTGTGTGTGTGTGTGTGTGTGTGTGTGTGTAGTTACGTTTCAATGATTACCGGATCAGATTGTCATTACAACCACCATTTACATTTTTTAAAATAAAGAAACGAGTATTAACAAATGCTAAATTTTATATGCTAAATTTTTAACATAGTTGTTCATTCATTTTAAAAAATCCGCGGAAAAATTACTATAATAGCGTATTATCTTCGCGCCATCTTGCCATCAACTTTCCTCGAATACGCGTACGAGGCCATTGGAAAGTGTTCCGAATACCAACGTTTTTATGCAAATTCATGTCACCAGGTGCTGTTTCTCTTGTTTTGTCTCGGCCTTGCGGTCGCCCAACACAATCAACCGTATCATGCGACTACACCAGTACCTATCTTAAAACAAATAAACAAGTGAGTGCCGGATTAGCGTTATGCAATCGAATGAAAGCGACGCGTCGCAATAGAATACCTTTGAATTTTTTTCTGTGCAAAAGTTACTATAATATTTATTTTAATTTTTGTCCCGAAATTTATTATTTTATTTTTATAATTCTGGCAAGTGTGTTCTGAAAAACAATTTGCGGAATATAAACCGACTGATTGATTTTCAGACACAATGAGGATGGTAGTTACAGTTACGGTTTCGAGGCGGCGGACGGTTCGTATAAAATTGAGTCCAAGTATCCGAATGGCGAGATTTACGGTAAATACGGTTTCGTCGATGACACCGGGAACGTGCGTGAGGTCGAATACGGCGCGTCCAGGCGTGGTTTCGAGCCAGTCGGTGCTGGGATAAACGTGCCCCCGCCAACCTTGACCGGTAACAGCATCGCCAGCAACGCGAATGAGCCCGAAGACGATGGACAGTACCGCGAGGATCCGTCGATCTATCACACCGATCCACGTTTCACCAATGGAGAACGTTATGAAGTGCCACTCAAGTACAGACAACAACCGATCGCCTACAATCCGCCGCAACAGATTTCACCGGCTGCTTATAATCAAAAGTGAGTCGCAATAAACTTTAGCATGTAGACTATCTGAAAAATGTCCGTCTTAAATTATAACGCGGATTCCTAATAAATTTTGCCTTTGTAATTGCCGATATCATAATTAATACTATTATAAAAAATTTGAAGCATATTTCGAATTTAGACATAAAGATTAATCATTTCTATTGAAAATTTGCCAATTAGGAATTATGCGACTTATGCGTTAAAATTCTTAATATTGCTTTACGTGACTTCTGTATTAAATTTCTCGGTTGTATTTGATAGATTATGGAGTATGTTAATTTTTATTCGGTCGAATCAGTCAGATTAAAATGCATATAGGAAGATCGGCTTACCGTGGGGAACGCAAAGAGATAACGAGCGGGGTTAAATGTCAAGTGTGAATCACTCGAAAGTACAGAAATCGTGACTTGCTCAACTTCGCGGGAAATCGGTCGCACCTCTGCGCTTCAACGGGAATGGGAAAGGAATCGGATAAACCAATTTTTCCAATTTTCAGATATAAGACCCCCGTCAATTACCGACCGGCAGCAGTGAAGTCGCGGTTCCAATCGGAATATCGACCGCAGTATCGATCGCAGTACGAATCGCAGTATCAAGGTCAGCAACTGCAATCCGTGTACCCTTCGCCTATTCCGGTCGGTCTTGAAGGACATAGCGCGACCAACATCGATATCAATGCCGGATTGGCATCTTACACGGTTAATTACAAATGATAAAGAAAGAGGATGAAAAGAGAAAGGGAGTCCAGCAATTGTATATAGGATTGCATGTGTATATACATTATTTATAGATATTCTGAGATCGTTACTGAGCATTTATTTCATTACTGCATGTAAAACTGTTAATTTCGCCGTTGGAATATTTTCGACATATTGATTTAATGGTAATTTAGTGGTAAGTTGCTCCACAGCATGACTTCTGATCAGTCTACATATACTTTAGATCATATCTGCCTTCTGTCTCGAGTTTCGAATGAGACAGTATTTTCTACCTCTTGTTCTCCGACGTTTCCTCTTTCGCTTCAGGAGAGTACTCTACCTTTTTCTCACTAGGAAATTTATATTTCTTCCATGATTCACTTATTCTTAAGTTTAATTTTAACTTATACGTATCTCTCCATTCTTTTCATTTAGTAATGACGCGTATTAATATTTAATTGCCTTGGCTGGCAGTGGCTGAATCACTCGAGATTCGACTTGGATATTCTTTGTGTCCTCGAAAATATTCATTGAATATTTATTAGTTCTTGAAGATTACTCGTACATTCTCTTTTACACCACAAAAGTGTGAAAAAAATCAGATTTAAACATTGTTGCTTCTTTCCTGTTGTCTTATACATTACTTTATTACATTAGGCATTTAGATATATGGTACATAAAAGTGGAGCGATTTTCGAATTATCTAATAGCATATCAATCAAGAATAATCCAGCCACAGTCGGTCGAATGATAAATCTTCCGAGGATTAATATGTGTGGAATTAATTTATATGATATCCGCAGTCTTTATCTGAAAAATCTAAAATACGCGTTATACTTGCAAATATAATTTAGGATCGATGTCCAAATGTTAATTCATATTTAAGCGTAATAATAAAGTATAATATATCTTATACAACAAAAAAATATTATACAATGTTGCGTTAATTAAAATAAGATGCAATAGCGAGATCAGTAGCAATGATTTTATCTGAAGAATACGTCGAATTGACTTGGATCGATTATATGTCCGTTTCAAATAATATAAATCAACTTTAATCTCAATTCAATTCTTCATCTTTCTCTAGTTTTAAGAATTAAAAAAAGATGAAAAGTAAATTGAACTAATATTAACGTCAATTTACATTGGTCGAAACAGGTAATTATATTGATCAATGTATGGAGTGTTCCAGGAAGAAAGATCAATATTCTGGAACATGACGGTATCAGTTATTTTAAGTAAAAGTGTTCGTATAAACATACATTCTATTTCAAACAGTTAATGCACGCATTGATGTTAATAATGAAATATTAAAAAATTTATTATATTATAAACTTTAAAAAATGTGTCACTTGAATAATGAATTATTAAAAGAAATGATCTCCTTCTTAATAAGCTTCTTGATTTTAGTTCATTCAATCTCGGAAACTGTTCGTAATAAAATACACGTTTATGTACGAATATTTTTACTTAAAATAACTTCCAAAAATATTGACCTTTCCTCCTGGGACACCTTGTATAATCGAACAATCTAATCAATATACTTGTCAACAAATTCAAGTCACATGTGCAAATACACTAGTAATGGAGATTTCTAGGTCCCTATTTGATGGTTGAAAACGCAATTAACATTTTTTTCCCAGCGTACGAAGAACGCCATCGAACTACATCGGGACACACCCCAGAATTTTATCGTTGAGTAACATTTAAGGTCTTAATGTTACCTTCGCACTCGGCCTTTCCGCATGCACGTACAATAAAAATTCATGTGCACCGCGGCGGATCCGCCATTCGATCTTTTCTCTGCATTCCTTTGAATTTTTAATTTTCCCCACAGTCCTTATTTCTCACACATTTCTCGTTATTCGTATTGGATACTAATCTGTTTTTGCGTTCATCACAATAACAATGTAATGGTATACATTTTACGTTTGCGAATTTTACTTTTTAATGATAAACATAAAGATTATTTAATTACAAAGAGATAATTAGAATTTAAAAGTTTATTTTATTATACCGTTTGTGATCAAAATCGCATTAGGTAGTTGAATTAAAACACATTTTAATTAAACTAAGTTAAAATAACAAAACTTTAATTAAAATGTTCCCAATTGCTAATGGAGTGGATATAAAATTCTTTTAAAAATGATAATTTAATTCAGGTATATAAAAACATAATCTTAATTTTGTAATATAAGAAAGGTATAATATATTCAGTAAAATACAGCATATTATCTTTTTTTGTATTCCGTCATTCTTTCCGTGATAATAACTGAATTCTTACGTGGACATAAGGAACAGTTGGCTCGTGCCAGTATCGTGTTTCAGCTTCTGGTTTAGAATCCTAATCTCCGCACGCATGGGGTTTACACGTCGCGCATACCTGATACGTGGAGAGTGCCACGGACCACCGCCCAAGTCCACCTTTCACAATATAATCCACGATCTACTCGATTCCGCCTCGAGATCAGCGTCTACCGCTCAATCGAGCACATGTTTATCGAAGCATCAGTTCTGCGAGAGAAAAAACTCAATACGGCTCTTTCTAGATTTCCGTAAACACAATAGAATCGTTAAGAGATCACGTTAATTATTAAGATAATAAGATTAATAAGCATGCGTAGATACATGATTAGGAAAACTAAAGACAAATGAAATAAGAATATTAAATAATTGTAATAAAGTATTGGCGCGTCGGAAAAATAAATCACTTTATTTATCGCTAATTTAACTTTGCGTAATATCAAACGCCAATTAATTATCATGATGCATTGCAAACGCACGTATAAAACTCATATACTTTTTGTAATGATATTTTAAAATAGCATTCTTTTATATATAAAAAAAGAAAGCGCACGCAAATGTTACATTTGATGACCTGTCGATACTGGCGATCGAGTTTTCATTCCTCCTTGTCTTCGATGTATTTTATCGCTGTGCGACACGCGTGCAATATCGCGATTCCGCGTTCACTCTTAAGACATTCTGATGCAAGGCGTGGTACGACGGACCGGTGCGCCAGATATCGGCAGAACTTGCTTTCCTTTATTGGCGTAATGAACACGTATAACTTTCCTCTTTTTGTCGCAGCTACATAATTATAAAGTAAGTCGATTCGCGCTAAGTTAGCTGAAAGTCATTTGTACCTCCTATTAAAACGCGATATAATACTGCATTAAAATAACTATGCTTTTTTAACATTTTTATTTATTTAATTATTTTATTTATTTCTTCATTTACTTATTAAATTTTCTTTCTTTAATTTTCAGTTCATGCTACAGTTTATTGAAACATGTTATGAATTGCAACGAAGATTGAATAAAAAAATCTGCGTTCGTTTCGCCATAACATGTACCACCAATAATTATTCATGCAACCAAATAATTCACACACGTGACTCTTAATATTAATAATTACAATTGAACAATATTTTTTTATTTGCTCGTGAATAATTCACACGTTAAAACTCTATAATAAAATTTAGCACGAAACTGTTTATTAATATAAATGTAGGAAATGTCATATTTTTTTTATAAAATTCTTTTTCATATTCCTTTAATATATACCGTAATATGTTAACATATATCGCAGCACGTTGATTTTTAACATTGAGTTCATTATAACATAGATAACTCTTTATAGCGCTACTTAATTTTATTAATGTATGGTGGTAACACAATAAAAATTGCAATTTAGTTCTACTTGATTAACATTTTTTTATAATGCATTTCAATGTAAAAAAAAACTTTAAGAAAATTACTTCTAAGAATGTTTTACTATGTTTTAGTTTTTAATGTTATATCTGCATCTTGACTAAATATAATAGTACTACATAATGAAATAATAAGTAATTTATATGTAATTGTGCGCATGTTTACATGTATTGATTTTTTTTTACCGAATACGCGCGCGTGCCACGACGATAGAACGACTTTTACGTTTTAGATAATCCAAGCGCTAATCGTATCACCTTCTCTCACTAGCGAGCGCAGAACACACCATCGAGTTTTTGCGGACTTGAGATCCAGTTCCTGCGCGAACCGTGATCGAGTTGTCGTTAAGCTCGGCAAATCCTTTCCGATTGTTGCATAAAAATAGAAAGTCGTAATGTTAATCGGAGGAAGCTGCTAACTTCAAATTGTCATCGAACCGTTAAAAAATGGTGCATTTCAATATCCGGAAAAATTGTCATTAATAACCGAATATGTTGAAATTGATTATGTTGAAATCTTGTTGGATTATTTGCCTCAAAAGCTGAGATTGACTTTTATCGGAAATCGTTAAAACGCCCAGTGATACTTACATAATAAAAATGACACAAAAAAATGTAGGACACAAGAGTAACGTGCATCGTGAATAGCATTGTTGGACGTCCTACGATCGCATATCAAGGAACTAATTCGACCTGAGATGATCTATATCAGTAAATGTCAGGGCTAACAACACTGTTACTATTTTCGAAGAGAGCGACTTGTGAAAGGCGAAACTTGAATACTTCATAACAAATTATGCAGAATTCTGTGTGTATACATATGTGTTCATCAGTATTACGACTGGATAATATTGTACTTAATGGAATTAAAGGGAAATTTATAATAAGACCTATTATTCAAAAAAATGATCTTGTAGTTACAGTGAAAATGATCTAAGTACGAAAAATAACTGGAATAGATAAATTTCTAGCAAGTACTGTGATATTGGATATGTATTGCATCTAATCATATAGGTGGCAGAGATAGAATTTAGATTTGTGCTAATAAATTCGATGATATATAATTTTCTATCAGAAAACAGCTATAATTCTAGCTAGAGCAGCAAAATATTTTTTTGTGTGATTCGCTCCTTCTCTAACAATAAATATTATTCGAATATTATGAATCCGTTTCTATGTTTCAATACGATATATTAAAGAGAAGCGATATTATAAATTTATTAATCACTTTTATTTAAATCGTTATCCAACAACACAAAATCTAAAATTGTCACATAAGATGTTTTTAAATCGTCTTTTAAACGCAAAAAAACATCTTATGGCCCGATTTTAGACACTTTTCGTTATCTGAGTAATCATTTGAACGTCTGAAAAATATTTTATCACATGCGTATATAAAAAAAATTCTGTTTTTATAATACTAATATGTTTCTTTAATATGTTTCTACTTTCCCTAATCAAAGCGATCGGCATTAATTGACGTCGTGTGAATGTCATCTACTAATTCAATGAAGTTAAAATGATATAATCGAAGCGATCATATCATTTGATATAGGCAACGTCCAATTGATTGAACCAATTAATCCATTACAATAAAATTGTTTTTAAACGATTGTAAAAAATTGACCGATATATTGCTCCCTTTTACCAAACGACATTGGAGTCAACGCGAAATCTTCGGTGAAACGAAATTGTAAATGCAGACATAATGTGGGTCGTTTGTGGAGTATGCCTCGTGGAAGTCATCATTAAACCGCACCATCATAATCACATCGAGGACCTTGAGGATGCATTTGCATTACATAAGCATGAGAAATAAAAAATTTTCTCTTTTCATATTTTTTGAAAGAAAAATGTACGTTTATATTTTATGTATTTACATATATTTATTGTAAATATATCAGTATAAATATATGTCAGTTTAATATGTGATGTTACTACTCTAGCTTCAGTTTAAGACTGTGTTTCAAGTAATCGACGTACAATTTGCTTAAACTAGAAAATGTATCACAAGAAATATGATTAAGCAATAAGCGAAGAACCACCCTAACCGAATATGGCGTTTTCGACATGTATTTAATTTTCATTTAATATTATAGGTAAATATACATTA